CCAGATTCGCGTCGGTGCGGGCCTCCACCAGCAAGCTTGCGACTTCGACATGACCATAGAACGATGCCGATATCAAAGCTGTGGTGCCTTGGCTGTCTGCAACATCCGCGTTTGCACCTGCCTGAAGCAGCAGGCGCGCGACTTCGACATGGCCTGCGCGCGATGCCGCCATCAAAGCTGTGCAGCCGTCTGCTGTCAAGTCTGGATCTTGGGGCAAGTGCAGCCTGGACTCAACGTCGGGCATGGAGCCACTGCCAGCCGCGTCCACGAGGAAGTTCACCTGCTCTTCTGAAGCTTCGATGAATGGCAATAGAACCAGATCCAGGTCCATCGGTGAATCCAGCTCGACAGCATCTTCCAAAGTCTCGCCGTTGAGGAGGAACCTCTGCCTAAATCCTAGGGGAAACCCACGCAGCTGATTCAGGTGCTGCTTCAAGCCCTTCACATCGTCTATCTCGTCGACAGGTATGCTGATTTCGCCGGAGATCATTCGGATTCGCAGCATCTGGCAGGAATGTTTCAATGGAAGAATTCGGCACCTGCGGCTGATAAATAGCTTGAGCCCGTGGTTGCGGCCGTTTAGGGATTACTCTTGGGGCCTGAATAATTATGATAGGGTTTTGGGGGTGTGATACTATATCTATAACAAGGAGCCCCCAAAATCGAGGGTTTCAGGTTTCCCCCGTTACTGTACTAAGGGTGTCTTTGAGAAACTTGGGCTTCCGTCTGAACAGTTCCTAAGCACCCGCCACATGACAAGACGTAATCTTTAAGAGACCTGTTTCTTTGCTTCTTCTTCCTGCCCAGGGCAAAATTGGGTTGGCCTTTAAACACCCTGAAAGATATTTATATATAGGGTCTCTTATGAACCCAAATAAGGAAAATAAAAATGTCCCAAAATCCAACCTGGGCAAGCATGAGCATGCTGAACTTTCCCGGTCGTAGTCAGGTCTAAGAACCCAAGCAATTTACAGGCTGGTATTGCAGAACTAATATCGACAAGCTTGCAAAGTCCCAAAAGACTCTGATGCGCCCTATAAGGGCGAGCCAGCGAATTTCGACCTGAACCGATTTGCGATTGACCACATCAGGAATGAAGCCGCTATGGCAGGTCTAAATAAAAACCTGGACCCGAAAAGCCTAAAGCCGTAAACCCTATGCACACCCCTAATCCCGCACCTCTGAATCCTACAGCTGAAAAACCTTAAGTCCTAGTGCCCCGAGTCCTTGCATCGCAAAACACTACGATACGGGCCTTGGTGTGTGTGTGTGTGTCTACATACATACATACCTACATACAAATAAACACGCACATGTCTATATATATATATATATATACACACACACATACATATCTGTATTTGCACACACGGACTACAATGACTACCAGGGGATACAAGTGGCAAGTATCCTACCGTAAACACCAGAACCCTCTGGCCCCTAATCAAAGGCCACATGCAGACACCCCCGCCGCCCTAAACTCTTTGCATCATCTAAAGCATATTCCTTAAGATCTGATTCTACAACAAAACACATAATGCCATTATAAAACCCTAGTATGTCAACTGCTGCCCTCCTTCGAACCCAGCCTGGCGAGCATAACGCGCACGGCGGCCTATACATGAAGTCAGGGTTCAGAAGTCTTGAAGGTTCGACACACTCACAACTCGAGTTTTGGAGCTTTAAGGGTTCACAGGTTTGGAGCTTTGAGGGTTTAGGGGTTCAGCGGTTAGGGGTTTAGGGTTTAAGGGGTTTAATGGGTGTCAGGTTTAGGATATGTCCACAAAGGTGTATCACGGAAAGGATCTAGGTAGTTTACAGTGGTTTGGGGCTGTGGAAGCTGTCAGGGATGATGCTCCGGACCATGACATTGTTTTTGACACGGGAAGATCGAACAGTCACACGCCCTCCCCTCATTAGCGCGGAATTCCAAAAATAGTAATCGACGAGGCCTTATCCAGAAGGAACGAGTTTAAGCAATCTCCCACGTCGTCACGGTGGTCGCAGCCCTTTGCGACCAGTTTCTCCTCTCTGTCTGTGTCTCTATCTCTATCTCTCTCTCTCTCTCTTTTTTGGTTGAGGTTCCGACCATTCGTCCTAGTAGGGTTGGTATCAGTAGACCTATACAGCACCCCCAAGCTCCGCAAACCCTCCACCCCATGACCTGCTGTTTTCACTTGGCCTGCTTCTACTCTTGAGCTCTACCAGTCGGGTTCGACAGGCCTGTTCGAGCCTTTGCGAGGTCTCCTGCATCGTTTAGGGTCGGTTCAGGTGTCAGATTTGAGTTCGGATGTCAGAGCAAGCTTCCTCGCCAGCGACCGAAGGGCATCTTACCCTATGCCTGAACTATAGTTGTGCCCAGCAGCAACGACGGGAAGATATGGTTTTGCAATCCGTGCTAGGAGGTTGACATGAACATGCGCCTCCGCAAACAGAACAGTACCTTCTTTAGGGATCCTTGAGATGCGGATATTACTGTCTAAGCTCTAGACTGGGGTCCCTCATTTCCTACTGCATACATAAAAGCTCCTTAAATGCATCTTGCCCTCAAGCCCCAAACCGCACACCCCAAACATTGAACCCAGAAAGCATACACCCCACGCCCCAACCCCTGGCCTGTACACGCAACACCGCTGTTTGCGCCCTCTCCTGCGCCGCCTGAACGGGATGGCAGGGCATGCGCTGCAAACATCAACTACAGGGGTGGTTGTCAAAATTAGGGTCCCTTTTGATGGGGGGCAATATTTAGGATAACCCAAAAAAGGGACCATAATTTTGACAACCACCCGCATCAGCACAAGATACCACCGCCGGTCGTGCTACGGCAGGTCTCCGAGAACAAGAGTAGCCAGCCAGCAGCTGGCTGGCATTTTCGTACGGCGGCCGGGGTTCTGGAATGGACTCTTGAAGGCTCATGGGACTTAGTAAGTAAGGTTATAAGTAGGTTATAATTAGGATAACCCCACTTAGGGGACTTATAACCCCAATTATAACCTACTTACTAAGTCCCATGATCCTCTAAGCTGTTGCTGTGATGTCGAGGACGAAGGGTTGGACAACATTGCTTCTACGGATCGGAGTCCTCGGAACCCGGCGACTTAACATGGGCGTCTGCGTTCGGGGGCCTGGTTTCCAAGATGCATGCTTCCGGCGACAAAAAACTCCTCAACTTAGACGATGAACTCCCGCATTCCTACATGGTTCTGGTTGAATCCACATTGCGATGACCCTTTACATACTTCCGACAGTTTCCAAAGCCTGCTTCCCAGGATTTCGACAATGTGGGATAGAGCGTTCTGCTTTTTGGCGGGGTGGGGGGAGGACTGCGATGCTTTCTTGCTGAAGTTTGTTGTGGTGCTCAAGTTGCGGGCAGCACCACCTTTTTCCCTCCTACTCAAGGACGAAGCCCGCATTGCAGGGTGTCTCAGTTGAACAGTTGAACTACAGCCTACAGCTGCTGGTATTCAGGCTGTGGCTAGTTTGTCTACTCAGAACTTCAGCGACCAGATTGAAGCATCACGCAGTCCGGTCACCCAAGTCTAAGTCTGCATGCCCGCGATCCAAAGGTACAGGTCATTGCCAATCCCTATTCACACATCGTTGTTCAGCTATTGTGCACTTGTGCAGATAGCATCGGAAGACCGAAGATCACCTTAAAGGGCAGGGTATGCTTTTTCTACGGTAAGCAGTCCACCCAAGGAAAGGGCACAGGGGCAGTACCAGGGGACCTAGTAGCGTGTTATCCAGACGATGAGGAAGACGCTTAAGGCAACTGCTACCGGAGCCTTCTGCCGGCGTTCAAGCTCCGCTGCGTTGACCACGGGATCCTGAATAGCACTGGCACACTGGGAACAAGAGACATCTTTGGAGTTTGGGGTTCAGAATTTGTGATACCAGTGTCATAGTTCCGTGGATGCCCGCTGGGATCATCATGATGTTCCGGTTGAACGGAAGCCTAAACCCAAACTTCCTAAACTCCCAACGGTACCAGTGTCAAGCAACGGGTAAAAGTGCTACGGGTTCGGCAGTAATTCCCTGGACGACACCACTTCTGATAGCACATGATTCGTTTTATGTGGACCTTGCTGTACAGGGAACCAGAGGCTATGCCTCCGAATCGGGATGAGCCAGGTCTAAGTCAGCCATGCGTCAACTACTTGGAGGTTCATCGGTAGTTATAAGTGGGGTTATAAGTCCCCACGTTGGTTTTAAGTGCCCTTACCCTGCTTATAACCCGAATTACAACTACCCATAAACCTCCAAGCAGAGCAGGTTTGGTACTGCTTGAGGGCTTTATGGCTCTATGAGGGTGTGGCGGGGATGGACTCAAGCCAAACAGCATGTTAGCAGTTGCTGCGATGACTAGCCTCACTCAGCGTTGACAAAAGAAACAACAAAATCTAACCACCGACGACTGTGACAATGGATTGTAAGTAATCATCGAAGATGGCAGCGAAGCATGATAGGATCCTTGTGGCGCCCTGGAACCACTTGCTGTATTACTGTCGCTGATGGACATGATCCGGCGGAGTCTGCCAAAATGGGCTTCCGTTTGCAACGTGTGTACCAAGCTGCTATATGTTAGCGATCACTTGTCGTGTGAGGCAAACAAGAAGATTCTGTTCCTAACCGTATGCGGAGCTCGTCTCTTTCCATCTTTTGTTCGACAAGAGTTCACACAGACTTTGCACAGGCCAACACATGAAAAGTCTTCACAGAGAGCCGAAGCGACAATCACTCAGATTTCAAGTTTTCTGCTGCAGATCAGCATGACATATCGAAAACAGGATGAGGCCGCGGCTGTGGCTCGTGGGGCCAGAGCGAGCAAGGGAAGCTTCTCTTTCATCATATTCACAAACCTGCCCAGGTCTGCTGAAGGCTTTCATTTCCTTCCGAGCTTTCAACCCAGTGTAAGCCCGACTACACATGTCAGGCGTTAACAAGGATATAGTAGAATGCGATGTATGATGCTGTAAAGTACTTCATTCTTTCTTGATCTGCTACAACATACAAATAAATACTTTAATGATACAAGCACAGTGTTCGCGACTCACCGCTTGTGTGCCAGCATGGGGCCTGTCTAGCCCTCGGAGCTCACAGTCCGGTGCCTGATTCTGGTGTAGAGGCTGTGGTAGGTCGTGTGACGTGGGTCGTCGAACAAACTCTCCTCCGTCTTCCGGTTGAAATAGAACCTCAGAAGGGGATCTGCGATCAGGCCGTGCACTCTTGGATTTGATAGAAGGCAAGTGAGCGAAATTTATAGAACCTCATGGCCAAGCCTATGATTGATCAACGCACCGGGGAGCATCGCGACACTGCTGCGAAACCCCAGCACAGAGGGGCCTTAATGCCTTTGGGATAGGTTGTAGAATGATATTGGTTTGCTTAGTCTTTGGATCAAAGGCCACACCGCGAGCATGCATTTCTATCCCTGCGAGAGATTTGACATGGGCGAGTTGCTACAAGGCTGTAAGAGATGCTATCCTAGAGTTCAGCAGTGGACAATGAAGCTTGTGAAAGCGGTCTCAGAAGCTAAGATCAAGACTTTTGGCCGGAGTCGTCGTAGAGCTCCATCCAGTTTGCCCTTAGCAGGACAAGCCTTCTTGCGACGTAGGTATAGTCGTTCTCTGATTTAATTTCCTTCTAGGGTCGCTCTATACGGGTGCCGTGCCATATTATTTTGGGTACGTAAAGGGGGATCAACAATTTAGAAAACCGCCACATGTTGGGCCAAGGTCCCTCCTCCAAAGCTCCAGGTGTCAGGGTTTCAAACTCCATGACTTTCAGACAACCTCGAAGTTCTATAGGTGTCCTTACCAATAACTCGCGTGACGAAGTCCCATTAGGCGAAATTGGGCTTTGCTAGGGGTCTGCCTTTACCTTCCTCACGGGTTGTGGTTCTTTCCCACTCGCTTAGCCTTAGCCGACGGCTGGTGTTTAGGTTTGAGGCGTTTGTAGGGCAGGCACCAAACTCAAGCATGTCGCAGAAAACCGTGAACCCCGAAAGCCAAACCCTAAACCCTCCAGGGGGGTGTGGCGAAGAAGTTTGGAGCCTAGGGAGAGATCTGGGCTACCTCGACAGAATCCCCGAGGCCAGGACAGATTGGCGCGGATTTTCTCCTCCATTTCGGCCTTTCAGCTCCGTGGCTTTATGAACGGTCTCTGTGTGTCTGTTCCAGATGGGTGCCTGTTGTGTTTTTCCGGGGCGTTATCAGGGTGTCGTCAAATCAGGGGTCCCGTTTGGGGTTGTGCATTTCTGTTGTAAGGGTTTCTGGCACAAAAAGCAACGTACGGGCTTGAATGGGTTTATTGGACTCAAGGGGACCTTGTTTGCGAGTCTTTACAACAAGAACCCGACTATTCAAACTATGATCCTCCGTTCATGAAGGCTCTGCCTCACCAGCTTCACGCCAAACCGCGCCCAAGTTTACCACCCAACCCGCCTCGAATTTGCTTCCACCGACAAGATGCATGCGAAGCCTTGAACCTTGTAGCAGACCCGCAGCCAATCCCTACAAACACAGAAGAAAGCTTTGGACACTTTAATTACTTCGTTAGTTAAGAATCGCAGGGTTAACACTCGAAGCAGTCAGCAGTTGGAGCCGCAGACAAACCTTTCAGAAGGGCATTCTTGATGTGGAAGGGTTTTGGGGTATAGCTATGCCTTAACCCCAAGTAACCTACCTTTTTAAGGACTTATATAAAGAAATCATAGTAGGGAGCCCTAAAAAGGTAGGTTCCGTAGGGTCCAGGTATATATAGTATAGTATAGCTAGATAGGCACACTGAGGTGACACTATGGCTAAGTTTTCGGACCTCTATCTTTCACTGTCGAAGGACGGGCCGCTTCAATCACTTCAACATTCCTAGAACTCCCCCGTGCCACACTCCTAACCTTGAAGGCTGATACAAAAAGACTGCACTCTCTGTGATTTGTTCATAGGGGGCCTTAGGAGGGCTTGGGTCTATGATACTATGACTATCTCAGAGTGGGATAGTATGTCTGTGTATTCGACACCCACAGCATACTATGGCACCCCGAGATTGGGAGAAACCCTCCTCGAAACCCTGACTCTAAACTCCGAACCCAAAACGCTCGACTCTGAACACGAAACCCTAAGCTCTAAACCCAAAACCCTAAGCTCTGAACCCCAAACCCTAAGCTCTGAACCCCAAACCCTAAACTCTGATCCCCAAACCCTAAACTCTGAACCCCAAACCCTCTGAACCCAAAAGCCTAAACTCTGAACCCCAAACCCTAAACTCTGCACCCAAAAGCCCCAACCCCCGAACTTGGTATGGGCACCAGCTCTTCGTCGATATCCCAAAAGCCGCCATCTTTTAGGGCTCGCCTGGCGCAGGGGGCGTTGGATCCCAGGAGCTGTAGGGAAGCGAAGGGCGCGGGGTCTTGGTTGAGGGCTTTGGGAATTCGGATTCGACGGGTTTCGAGTTTTTGTTCTTTGAAGTCCGTAAACTTCAGAGAGTCCGGGACCGAGACTTAGAGAAGCTGGACACGACATTGTATGCTTCTGGTTGTAACGATCCTCCGGACAGGTATCCCTGGCCCTGACGTTGCCAAAGTCCCATGAGGTAGGGGATTCTCGCGAGATTTTACTAGCAAGCTCACAATCTGCAGCAATCTTCCTCAAGATCGTTGTACACCCTCACCACAGGCCCTGGTAAATTCCTGCTTCACATAAGTTTATGCATGTGTATATATGATGCAGGGCTGCCACGCCCCCCCTCCCCCCCCCACCCCATGGTATCCTCCCCCCTTCCCCCCCCGCCCCCCCTGTGGTGCGGGGCCTGTGGTGGTACTCTTTTGCCGCGACGTTCTTATGTGTTACTCCTTGTCTTCCCTCTTGCTGTGGCACCGGTGATACTGCTCATGATGTTGTGCTGCTCTAGACCGGGACATGAGTCGACAATCAGACCATGCTCAACATCATCCTTGTCGTCGGCATCTTCATCATCAATACCTTCAAAAGAATATCTGCCACCATCACCATCGCCATACAACCCTCATAATTCAGCAGTGCAATTCATGTCAGATGCTGGAAACTACTCGCCCGATTGCCGCTTTCCGCACACGGCAGGGCATAGTGCGACACTCCCGATCCGCGCACAAGGTCCAGGTTGGGGGCGGCGGGCAGGGCGGGTGGGCTACCATTGCGGGGGGGGGGGGGGGTACCATTGGGGGGGGGGGGGGGGGGGGGCGGCCCGGGACCCGAGAGCATATATGGGAGTTTCTAGTACCCGAAATCGTAGGATCCTTATTATAAGGCCCCCAAAATAAGGTACCCCCAATTTTTCGGAAACTCCCATATATATAAATAGGTTAAAATATATGATATTCGTTGCAAGGGTTCTGGGCGAGGTTCAGCCTGGGGGAACTTCCATTAGTCTGGCCTTTTGGCATGATGAGATGCATGTTGATCCCGAAAGGAGCTTCATGTCATCATAAAGGGAACTCCAGAAAGTTGGAATATGGTTTCAGGGTAGGATACCCTATATTTTACCATAAAGGGTTTAGGATAACCATATTCCAACTTTCTGGCTTTTACTTTAATGTGGGGCTTCAGATCACGAGCGTCGGAGGGTGTAGTTGCCACTACGCATGCTGTGCCTTAACCCTCTCAGCCTCGAATGCACTACCCGTCACTACTCGCGCGAATCGTTTCTCCCTGGCGCACTTTCAAAGAAATCCTTAGGTGAAGACCTCAGTTTGCGAATGATACTTCACAGGTACTTGGCATACGAACCAGTTGCCCTCTGTCACATCTCAGAAGCTCTGCTGGCCGAAAATGACTTCCAGGTGATATTTCGTCGGCACTCCGCTGCATGCCCTACCAGGATAGTTTGATTGCGGAACCCAAACCCTAAGCCCCATCGTACCCCTTAAACCAACCCTTTCAAGGTTCCTTGAAATCAAAAAGAACGCCGATTTGAACCCGTAGATCGGCAGCCTCATAAGGACTTGTGTTTAGGTTTTAGGGCCTTGGGTTTAGGAATAGGGCTTTGCGCAGGGCAAACAACGATGTTGTATATAGAGGCTGTAGTGACTGTAAAGTTTTTCAGTGTACGTTCAGATTTCGAGGGATTAACGAAAGCTTCCCACCTCCAGTAGTTGGCGATCTCTACAAACTCCTGACATCGGGCCAATCTGCAGGAGTCTGCAACATTGACAACTTCTACTCAGGGTTTACGGTTTCGACTCGCACAAGGCGTAAGGTTTTAGGATGTGTGGTGTAAACTTCCGTACTTCTCGAAGGCTTGGGCAGCATGTACCACGGGCATGCATGCATGGGCGCACACATATGAATGCATGCACATACATACGTATATAAATGCAAAGAACCACGTAGGAAGGCAGGTGCTTGCATGTAGCTTCGTGTAATGATGTACAGTTATGTATGTGCGGATCGCACTTGCTTGGTTCAGACAGGGTCTGTCATAGTGGAGTTGAGAAACTTGCTTGCTCCTCATCCGGTAAAGAAAAACTGCCTGCAGCAGTAAATAAACTTCATGTCTTGTCATATGAGAAGTGCGGTCGTGGACTGAAGCAGCCGTCTCTCTGCCGTCGCACAGACTCCAGAAGCTTGAACTCAGTCTATTGCGGAAATGAAACAAGCCCGAACCTTCATTCCTGAACACCCGAACAGTTAACATGGGCCGAGAGCCGAGCTGAAACAGCTTCCCCGTCCCAAACCACGGCTACAACCCATGCAGTACTGCCACACCATGGTAACAGACTCTCAAAACGATATGCAAGACCGTTTTGGCCTGAAGTTGCCCAGGACAGCGGCAAAATTGTTTACTTGACCTAGACCGATAGCGACGAAATCCTGTATGGAAACAAACTGACAAAAGACGAACCTTACTGAGTAGGAAAGTCAGGCGGAGCATCCTACGCAGAACTAAACAAAGTTCATACCCTAAACTCTCAAGCAGTCCTGATCCATGGGATGCTTCCACAGCGACTCCCTCAGGTTCGTGTTGTAGAAGTAAGTTCGGCCTCGATTCAGACTTGGATTTTTGATGCCACACCTTGCACACAGAAGGGGCGTGATTGCAACTAGAACAGTGTTTTCGGAGTGTACTCTGGTGTACTATACAGAGACTATAGGGGAGATATTCTTGGACAAAAACCTGCAGCAGGTGCAGGTTCTGATGGTTCCAGCAAGGGTCCTTGAGTTGAGGATTCAGGTAAGAGTCACATCCAGAAACAAGGCCGAAGTCGCGTAGATCTAGATGGCGAAAGACGAAGTCCGGGCCGCGATGCAGTATGCTCGGGGACTCAACTGTAAATCTTGGGGAGCGTATGGGAGGATAGCACCCCAAAAACGTCAAAGGTTATCCACTCTACTACTAAGAGAGGGGTTCAAGTCACCGATAAAGTATGCCAACACCTGGCGAAATTGATTCCTACTCAGGACCAGTACCAGTACTGTTACTAGTATTGGTACTAGTAACCACCTGTCGGGCTTGAGGCGAAAGCCCTAGACTCCCCCGGAAAGCAACGAGACTCCGACCACTGGCATCGACGTGCTCCGTCCATCCCGGCGGAAGTGGGGCATTGTAGGCCTCGGCGCTTGGAGACAGAACTTTACTGGTCCAGTTTACTGGGGCAACTCATGAAAATTTTGCTGACCATGCTTGATGCTGCAACTGCATGAGAATTTTATCCTTTATCCTATCCTTTTTTCAGCACGGACGAGCTATCAGGAAAAAGTTCTGGATGACCTGGGCTAAAGCTGAAGCTGAAGATCTCCTCATATCCCGAAACCCAGAATCCCTGGAGCCTCCTCTACTCTCAGCTGTTGGCCACCTTGAAGCCAAGAGTGAACCTAGGAAAAAGCTAAGTCGAACCTCTAAAGGTGCAAAGGACCTGACCTCATAGTACTCAGTTTAGGGTAGTAGTTCTGTAGGGGTTGGTACTTCTGAGACTGAGAGTATATGACTACAAATTAGAGTTAGTTGAATGGCCTCCTCGGCAATCCAGACCATGTCTGCTTCCCGGACGTGGTCGATGCCCAGGCTATGCACCTCAGGAGCTAAGCGGCCTTGTTTTTGTTTTAGAAGGCTTGCGAAGGTGTGAGTGAGGTCACATCGAAGCCTGAACACATACTATATGAAACCTCAGTAGCGTGCCATAACCCAAAGTGCTACCACGATGAAGTAGGGACCCTCAACAAAAGTACTACTATTCCACTGGTTTTCTTTCTTTACTTACAGTTCAAGATGCCCCACATCCCGATCCCTCTTGTTGAGGCCGCTTCAGTCTATGAGCTCCCTTGCGGGTTCCTTATTCTGACAGTGACAGCTTATCTTGCGGGTGTGCTTGACGATCTACATTACGTGCTCCTTGTTTTCTGATACTCTCAAACTCCCTAGAAGGACTCTATGGGAATCTAGACTGACCCAGACCAATCCTTGCGCATCCATGTCTGGTCCAAGGGTCCACATGGACCCACAAACCTTCTATATAGTACGGTATGTTAAGAAGCCCTTCTACTGATGTCCTCAATAGACCCAAGGAGCTCCGGAAAAAGACCTAACGAGCACCCTAAACCCTCAACCCTAAACAGACCCAAAGCCCTTCCAAAGTATGGCCTTTTGTCAGGGCGTTCAGGAGTCTATGGCCTTCCGACGGCTTTGACCCGTGGAGTACCCAGAGAGCCCAATACCCCTTACTTAAACAAGTATAGCTTAAACTCATAATATGAAGCCCCTAATGATTCAAGGTATATTCCTTGACTACGGGGTATTGGGCGCTCTGGGTAGTTCGGTTAGGGTTCAGGCTTGGGGCCGGTAAAATATACTGAACTTAGAACCCTAGCAAAATTATAATTTTAGCTGTTTCTTAGGGATCATAAGAACCAAAAATTAAAAAATGTTTCTAAGTACCCCTAAGTATCATCCTTGAGGTGACTTGGTGATGCTAGCTACTTGGAGGCTCAAGTAGGGTGACAAGTAGGGCGGTTGTAGGGTAGGATTGTAAATAGGGCTCCTTTAGGGATCTATAGGGTTTAGGGATTAGGGTTTAGGACAGTTATGAGTAAGGTTATCTGTAGGGTAACTATACGGATAACCCATATCAGGGGACTTATAACCCCACTTATAACTACCCATGAACCTCCAAGTAGAGGTGTCCAAGCTCGGCGCGTAAGAGAGCATCTCGAGGACATTGGCCTTCGACATGTCGGCACAGTCTTTTATGCCCCTTTGGGCCCAGACCTAAATTCATGTAGGGATGACTCTATTGGTTCCTCAGAGCTTTTTTTGGAACCGAAACAAACAGATGTCCTGAGACGATTTCAGTGATACATTAGAAGCTGCCCCCACCCTGTAATAGTGACTATAAGGATTATACTAGGGCCCTATTATATTCCTATTATACCACTATTACAGGGTGGGGGCCCCTTCTAAGTGATACACAACGGCGGTGCAGACGAACCGACCGACTTGGGGGCTGCTGAAATGCCTGGAAGCGCTAAGTGGGTGGTTGTCAATATTAGGGTCCCTGTTTAAGGCGCCCTAAATAATAGGTGCCGTATTATAATAGGGACCCCAAAATGGACCATAATTTTGACAACCACCCAAGTATTGCAAGCCGCGGGGGGCACCAATCCTACGACCCTACGACTCCTAGTCTGCTGTAGTGTTTGGAGTTCAGGGTTTGAGGTTTCGGGTCGAGGATTCAGACTCAAGAATCCCTACGACTCCTTACCCTGAAATTCACCCCCCCCTGGAGTCTAAGCCACAAATACAAACTACGCACTGAACCTCCCCCAAGAGCTGTCTGCAGACTGCCATGCGCCGAAGCATCTGCACATGACAGCTCCGCGGTCAAATCCCCTCACGCTGGGCCTATGTGTCAAATTAAACTTCACAAAGTACTAAGTACCAGCTGAACCCAAAACCACAAAGCCGTCAACCCTAAATCTTGAGCCCTGTACCCTGAATTCAAAAGCCCTGAATGAATGAAACCAAGGTTACTTAGCTAGGTGGGCTAGACGAGCCCTCCACTCCTGACTTCTCCACGCTGTATTAACTAAGCATATATGGGAGTTCCCGAAATTAGGCGTACCCTTATTATGGGGTCCTTCTAATGCGGATCCTACTATTTAGGGTACTATAGTGGGGTCCCCCATTTGCGGAAACCCCCATATAGGTACTTCGGTTAGATGAACCTTGGACCGCAGGGGAACGCAATGCACCTAGCCTTGCATCCTTTCAGCTAAGCTCCCTCTTCCTAAGATCCTGACCTCGAATTCCGAAACGCCTGAAACCTAAACCTTAAATCCGAAACTCCTAAAGCCCCAAAACCCAACCCCCTGAAAACCTTAACCCCTAAACTCCTAAAGCCGCACTTCTGCAGCTTCTGCCTGTCGCTCCACAGGAGTCACGATGGAAGCCACCGGCCTCGCTTCGTCCAGGCGGCTTTGGTGGAAGAAAAAGGAGAGAAGTAGACTACCACGGTTTAGGGTTTAGGGCCTAGGGGTTTAGGGGTGTTTTTTTTTCCCTCGGTGTGGGTTTAAGGGTTTAGGGGTGTGGGGTTCAGGGGTTACGGGTATAAGGGTGTAGGGTTCAACGACAGAAGTGGACCAGTAGAGTAGAGGTTTGGGGAGTATTACTGGGGAGTATTTTACCAGACTTGCCCACCTCGGGGATTCATTTATATGGCTTGGGTCCTCATAGTGGGCTAGGCTAGTAGAATAAGGGTTTCGGGAATGGCCGACCATCATTACATGTCTAGGGCACTTTAGGGGGGTTCATGTAGGATTTTTGCATAGGTGGGGAGGACTTTGGGAACCCGTACAGCCTTTCATAGCGCTCGTACAACCTTATAAAACGTTCATGCACATCTTACAAGACGTGTGCACTCCATGTGGGCATCTTCGAACATAGGGGACCCTAACACAGTACCCTAAATGGTAGGATCCTTATTATAAGGACTCCCAAAGTAAGGTGCCCCTCATGGAAAGAGAAGCTGAGAGAGTGACTTCCCCGGAGCCGGCCGCAGGAGCTTCGTCTGAATAGTCGCCATCTGCTCCTAAAGAGTCCTGGCAGGCAAGATTCCTACATTGTGGGCTTCGGGTTTAGGGCTTTAGGATCTGATCTACTCTAGGGGCCTTAATACTTGCAATGGGGTTTTGGGGTATATTATACTATAGTTATGGTGCGGAAGCCCCAAGATGTAGTTATAATTAGGAAGCCCCAAAATAGTATTGGTAATTTTTATAAGCGCCCCCTAGATTACATTGTGGGGCTTCGGGTTTCGGGCTTTGGGGATCTCGATGCTTTGGAGCCTAGAAGGACGCTTTCAAGAACAAGCGTAAAGTGAAAGACATACCCAAATGGGAGTTTCCGAAAATTATGGGAACCCCACTTTAGGGTCCTTACAAAAAGAATCCGACTATTTTGGGGTAGTAAATTAGGTACCCTATTTCCGGAAACTCCCATATTACGATATACACACCTATGTATAGAGGAGCCCGGGTTCCCCTCAACACCCAAAGCCCCAAATGCTGAAACCTTCTACGGCCCATCATCCTACACTCTACACCCTCGTCTTGTCGGGCTTTCCCTGACCCTTAAACTCACAAAGCCTAAGCCCCAAAACCCCAAACCCTGAACGGCCTAAGGCCCTCTAAGCCCTGAACCCCAAAAGCCCCAAACCGCCTCTCCGGATGGCGCCAGGCGACCCTGCTCCAGGGGCCCCGAGGGGCCCGGCTCATCGCGAGCCAGAAAGGCTGAGGAAGGGCGAAAAAGGTTTAGGGATTGAGGTTGTGGCTTAGGGCTTGGGGCTTCAGGGTGTAAGGCTTAGGGTTTGAGGTTTTTGCGCTTGGTGCACTTCTCGATTTCTGCGTGTCATCTTTGCGGAGGGCCAAAGTTAGGTTTTAGATTTTGAGGTGTAGAGTTTGGGGCTTCCGGGTTTAAGCTTTAGGAATTTACGAGTTTTGGAAATATGGCGTTTGTTTTGCTTGGGAGCTGCGGGTTTAAAGGGCGGAGAGGGCCGAGGCTGTGGAGGGATGCATCGTATGATTCGAGGTGTCGTTGTTAAAAAGGGGACCCTAATATAGCGCTTTTAATAGTAGGATCATTATTACAAGGACCCCAAAACAAGGTACCCCTACTTGTCGGAAACTCCCACATCTTAAAGGCTGCTGGGCTTCCGAGATGTAGGGTTGCGGGCTTTAGCGGTCTAGGCTTCAGGGTGCTTGGGTGTGAGGATAGGTGGATTAGGGTAGGTAGGACACTAAACCCGAAACCCTAGGGGCTGAGGCTCTCCGAGATGTGCGAATGCTTGGCCGTACTTGGCTTTGAAGTTGACTTCGTGTCGCACGTTTCGGAAAGTACAACCCTAATTACTTCACTACACTTTAGGGGTGTATGGCGGCTTCTTAAGCTCCCGATCCTTTCAGAAGTCTTGACCAACTACTTGCTCAAGCTGAGGGTTTCGCCTCACAAGCCGTCTCCTTGCTCCTGCTGGTCCTCTTGCAATGACCTGAACCACAAATCCTACATCCGAACACATAGACCCGAAACCCTAAGACCTAAACCCCGATACCTTTTTTAGAGGACCCAGAGCCTCAACGCAAAAACCCTAATGTCTAAAGCCTAAACCTTAGCCCAATCCGGTTCTTTCCGCCAACGAACTTGTAACGAGAAATGCTGCTTTGCAGCGAAGGGTGACACATCCCACTGGTGTCTGTGCTTAGTGTTAGTGCTCGTCTGAAAACAAACAAGGGATACGCCTATTTGTAGCCTAAAGTCTCATGGCTATGGCCGTCCGAAGCCCCCCATCAAATCCCATAATCACGTTATCGCTCTCTTTGTAGGGGGCCTTTCAGCACGGAGCTGTAAAACGCCTAAAAACGGCCTGATGATCTCTTTGTAGGGCCGTTAAGCATGAGCACTAATCCTCGCCAGAACCTCTGCGCATCGACATCTTCATGTTCCTGGGCTGGCGGGGCATGTGAGGGTGTAGGGTTTCGACTCGCACACTCGCACGAGGCAGGCATGGCTTCAGGCACTGGGTCCACTGAGGGTGTAGGGTCTAGGGGTTTAGGGGACCGAGGGGACTCGGGAACCAGAGTCTGGATTCTGGCATTTTTGTAGTTTTGCAGTTTTCGGCGTGGGTCCAGGGACACACACGTGTTTATGATACAGTGTACATGCAGGTTTCGAAACGGTTTCGACTCACCGCAGCAAGGCTCTGCGTGGCCGGAAGGGGTTGAGCTCTTTCGTTGGTATGTATTTATGTATACATCTCTCTCTATGTATATATAAAGCATGTACGATTGTATGCACGTACGCATGCATGCATCCATAAGTGTGTGTGTGTGTGTATATACCCCTTTACATTGTCATGTACATCGAATACATCATGTATTGAGAGCGGATGCCTCACAATCTTGAAGCTTGAGGTGTTGCGGTTATCTAAGGGAAGGGTTCAGGCTTGGGGGGTTTAGGCACAGAGCTGTGTTGGACTTGTTGCAGCATGTCATCTTGAAGCACTACTTGGAGGTTCATGGGTAGCTATAAGTAGGGTTCTAAGTGGAGTAACTATACTTATAACCCATACTAGGAGACTTATAACCCTACTTGTAACTACCCAAGAACCTCCAAGTAGGTGCAGTTTCAGCTTGGAGTTCGCCCTCCCAGAGTCATGGGCATCTCCGGAAGATAGTCTCGATCCCATAAGCTCTTTTGACCACCGCCGGCTACGTGTTCAGGGATCTTAAACGTGCAGAAACTCTTGGTGATCCTAAACTCACAAAAGGCTTGAGGACGTCTACCAACATGGCGAAAAACAGTCCCTGATACCATGTCTTTCATCTTACACCGTACAGTAACACTCTTCGCGAACATAAGAAGCAGCGTAGATGGACCTAACATGTTAAACCCATACCACGAACCCTACAAAAGACAGGGACCTAAGAGGCTCAACCCATGCCATAAGTCCCAAAACCCTAAGAGCCCGAGGACCCAATCAGCGAAACCCATAGCGTCAGAGGATCCCTGCCAGAGAGGCATCGACCTGACTAGGGCAGAAAGGGAAGCTCTACGCTGAGAGCCGGGAAGTACTGTAGGGGCATAAACAACTATAGAGGAATAGGGGGCTACTATAAGGGATCTATGGGTCTATGGGGGTACTATAGTATAGGGAGGGGCCTAGTATTACAGGGGCCTGAATAGGGTCCCTTGGGGTTCCGTTTAAAGCGGTCTACAAGGGCTACCAAAAGGGTATAATATAAGAGCATAACCAGGAAGTGCAGGGGAGGTGGTGGTTTGGATTCCATGAGGTGTCTTTCAATCGAGTGTTTCTGAAGCCGTCCTGAAGTTTGTAGAGGGTTGCTGGAAGGCTAGTTCTTTTGAGGTTCTACATGGGCTTCACTGAAGTTTAGTGTTCAGGCCTGAGGGCTTTCAGGCTTCATCCCTTCCCATGTTTTCAACACAATATATAGCTAGTATAGGGGCTTAGTAATATAGGGGCCTTAATAGGGTCCCTTAGGGTTCCGTTTAAAGGGGTCTGCAAGGGTTTCTATACGGGTATAATATAAGCCCCTCACTCTCCAGTAATAACAACTCTTTCCGAAAAATACCACTTGAAAACCTCACCCGGGTCAAGCCAGGGATTGGGTCAGAGTATTTACATACTACAGCGGCCTGGATAACTGCCAGTACTATCTATTTTGGTGGTTTCATACCATAAAAAATGGGCCCCGAAACCCTATTGAAAGGATTCAGGCCCCTGTGCTACCTCAAGGCCGTCGCGAAAGCGAACTAGCCGACAGCAGCCCTAAATGTCTGGGCCTCCCCAACATCAGCCAAACAGTTACAAGGCCAGGTCCGAAAGCCTTCGGGCCGTAAACTGTCAGGACTCTTAGTCATACTTGGAGGATCAGGGGACATAGTAAGTTAGGTTATAAGTACACTAATTCGAGTTATAAGTAGAGTTACCTTATTTATAACCCTAGTTACTAAGTCCCATGATGATCCTCCAAGTAAACCCGCCAGAAATCCTACAGCCGTAAATCCTAAACAAAATCCTGAAATCCTTCATCAACAAACCTAGAGCTCCGATCACCAAAATCCCAGAAGCTTTCATTCAGCGCCCTCAACGCTAGAGCCGAAAGATCCCTAAGCCCTAAGCCCTAGCCTTCACAAAGCCCAAAATACCAAGGCCATGAACCCCTGAAGCTTATACCCTAAACTCTAAATCCCTAAGCCCTGAGCCAAACCCCTGAAACTTGAAACTGAAACCCCGAAACCACCAGAGACTGGAAACATGCTCCCAAGCCAGGCCCCCGTTTGGAGCCTTGGGCTTCGGTGGCGGCGGAGGAGGCGGAGCCGGAGGAGGTTTGACGTAGATCTTCCGGCTCAGCTTCCTGGGGTTCAGGCTCGGGGCCTTTTAAGTTCTTGTACTTGGAGGTTCATGGGTAGTTATACGGGTCCCTTTAAGGGTTCCGTTAAAGGGTTCTACAAGGATTTTGGGGTTTAGGGTTGAGGGGAGTTATAAGTGGGGTTATAAGTCCCCTCATAGGGGGTTATATGTATAGTTATATACCCGACTTATAACCCTACTTATAACTACCCACGGACCTCCAAGTAAGGGTGTCCGAAAAGGGTTACTTCAAGGAGTACTGGCAGCATTACTATATGGCATATGTGGATTCCTGTAGAGTTTGCTACAAATTAAAATTTCAGCGTAAGGATCCCCATTCTGGTTATGATGAGGTTTCGGTTAAGGGTTCCTATCCGGTTTTGGGGCTTCATGCGCATTACGGGCTGCGGCTTCTAGGGCTTTCTAACACGACCACGACTACGACGACTACTACAAACACTACAACGTAATGCAGGATTAATATCACTCCTACTACTACTATTACTACTACTACCACTACCACTACCACTACCACTACCACTACGACGACTACTACTACTACTACTCCTCCTACTCCTACTCCTACTCCTACTGCTACTGCTACTGCTACTGCTACTGCTACTGCTACTGCTACTGCTACTGCTACTGCTACTGCTACTACTGCTGTCGGTCAGCAGCCTGTCGGACCCGACAGGCTCCATGATTGGGGTCGCTGGTGGAATTATGCGGACTTCATAATTCGATGAAGGTTCTCTTTGAGGGGCACTCCTACAGGATCTGATAAGGGATCTATAGTACTAGAGGGGTTCTAGTAATATAGGGGACTAGGATGCCGTAACATCGGCCCGTGGCCAGGTTTAGAGTATAGGGTTTACGGCTACAGTAACCCTCGCTTTACTCTTACAAGGAAAGAACTAATTTAACCCCTGAGCCCCTCCCCTAAACCATAAACCGAAACCCTGACCGTTAAATCCTGACCCTCCTACCCATCTTATCACTGACCAGGTGCTTCAGCTGACAAACCTCAGGGGCTGTCTTGTCCTTCCTCGCTTCCCGGCCTAGGCCGACGACGGTCAGTTAAGGGTATAGGCTAACAGCGTCTGAGGTTTCAGAATTTCTAGGTTTGAGGGCTTTCGGGTCTAGGGCTTTAGGCTTCGAGCATCTAGGGCTGCAGGGTTTGAGAGTTGCGGCGTTGGAGTTTGAGGCTTGGGTGGTTTGTGTGAAGCATAACGATTTGAGACTTAGGCTTTGGTCTTTTCATGAAGAGGTCTGTCTATAGGGCCTATACGGCATCTCGACTCAATAGGCTTTCAACCCCTGAGACCTATCACGAACGCATTCCTATGCGGCAAGCTGGCCCTGAAAGGCCTCAAAAGTTGCTCAAGCCGGCTGAAGTTCCTGCTCCTCGGGATGATTTCGACTCACACACTCGCACAAGGCAGGCATGGCTTCAGGCGCTACGTCCACTAAGCTTGCTGCTTGTACACCAAGGGACAAAACAGTATTGGTAACACCAAGACAGTTAAGTTGTGAGACCTGGTTATCGCTTCTAGTTGTACTTGTGCACGCTCTTCTTTCTTGTCGCGGCTGCTGCAGTCGCCATAGAAACAAAGCTGCAGCAACCACGGCAGTAGATTGAACGACCCACTGAGGACGCGGCTGATGTCGGGATTGCTCCAACATTTGTTGGAGTTCTTCATGTTCTGCATAAACACCTCCAGAATCCCCGAGTTTCTCTTCAGCTTCAGGTTTCTCCATCAGAGTACTTCGAAGGTTCTTGCGGATGCCTCAATCCTTTGGCACTAGGGCGCGCAGGCTTGGTGAGGATCGTAGCCTTCAGCTAAAACGATGGGAGTCGAAACCAAGGCAGAGGTAAGGTTGCGAAATCCATGCTTCTGCCTTTACAAGGCTTAGGCACATGTGCTCCCAGAAACTTCAATTGCCCAAAGTCTAAAAATAACGCAACACACAACAGTAGGCTGGAAGTTTCAAGAAGCTTCAAATAAACAGCTCCGAGCTTAGCTCAATGAAGGAAGCATGCAGCCCGCCTGAAGCACTGACGATGTATGTCCCTTGCGACCCTGTCTGCAATAACGCATGGGGTGTCCGAGCGAGCCCCTTGCACGGCCGTCCGTGGCCTTGTGGCCCACCCTGGTGTACCGCTTTTCCTTGAGCTCTTCAACGTTGACGAGCTCCAGCTGAAACTTTGTCTGCCTGAGCCCAAGTGACATCGACAGCTTCCAACCCGAAGAGAAATCAGACTACGAATAGTTCAAGTTCGAACTGTCTACACGCGAGGCTTGAAGTTCAGATTGATTCACGTAATCATAAAGGGGCACCTACATGGATGTAGAGTCCTAGAAGCAAGGGTGGACGAGTCTCAAACTCAGGGCTGACAAAGGAGTCCTTCTGTGTGTGGTTTTGAGGGGGGTCGGGCTCACATCTACAATCTGCCGTGAACACCTCACACCACCAACCACTACAACAGCATCATCAGTAGCTCCGGGAGTGGCAACAGGAGCAGGAGCATAAGAAGGGGCAGCACGGGTGGTCGTACCAGTGCAGTACCAGCACAAGTATCAGTACCAATCCCATCCCGGTAGTGCCAGTGGTGGGTGTAGCGTGTACAGCGGTGCTTGTAGTTACTTCTAGTATGCAATTCTACAGAATGAAACTACACACTTGCCGCCGTGGCGCTTGTGCACTTCAAAGAGCTTCTTTCGAGTCTGAGTTTCCCAGTCGTCACCTGGGACAAGCCGCAGATCTCTGATCCAGTCTAGTTCATGGTGCGGATAGGATCAACAACTTTAAGTTCTCATTCCTTACTTCCTCATTGGGTTTAAGTACTCCAAAATATGGTAAAATGTTACCCCTAACTATGACAAAGCAGTAGGGTTTAGCCCGGAAGGGTTCATCCGTCAATGGTTTCAGGGTTCGGTTTGGTGCTTCGTGGCAAGTTTCAGGATTTGAGGTTTCAGGGTTTAAGGGCCACAGAGCCAACTCTTCCTGGCCTGCAAACTGTACGTCTGTGAAAAGTTGCAGCACCTCAACACACTCCAACACCCGGTTCCCGACATCTCACTAAAACACTGTTTATCTACACCCGACACCCCAAACAGAAAAAAACCCGCACGAGAGCCATCAAAATCCTGACCGCTTCCCGGGACACCCATGTGAAGATCCAAGTTGCTGAGGGCCAGAAGGTGGGCCACTCGCGCCATCTCCCGATCCTGGGCCACTTACTCAGCGATCTCATTACGTCGTAATTTCTTATCTAGCAGATCACTGCGCTCTCTAAACGACTCTGAGTTGCTTCGGGCCGCGGGTTTTGCGGCTCTGACAATGATGAGGGATCCTTCTTCCGAGGCGTACCGACTAGAAGGATCCTCAGCCCAAGCAGGAACGAGCCGAAGGCCCCCAAGCTCTTGGCAATGTGTGCCACATGCGCCCTGCCGACCTACCTAATAGAACAAGCTAGCTAACTACTATCTAATCAGCTAACTCTTTATCTAGCTGACTACGCAACTATCCAATTAACTGAATGCACTTACTAGCCAGCCCAGCAACCCCGCCAGCCACACACCCAACCCACCGATCGACCAAAACACGACCAAGAAACCAACGAACGAGCGAACCTATCACCAAACTACTGCACACGCACCCTGAAAAGAGACGCTTGAAACATCGTGAAGCCCAAACCCGAAACCGAAAGCCTAGCCCAACGCCGCCAAGCACAAACTCCTGAATCCATCCCTACCGTTCTCCGCCGAGAGCGCAAGGACATTAAACCATAACAGGTAAGGTAGAAGAGAACTAGGTCAAATTCAATGCAACACGAGGAAAATTTTCTGACACGCCATTAAAACCGTCCAACATGCATCCTCCAACACCAGAAGACTAGCCGAACAAAGCTCTCATTACCTCGACGAGATCACATGTGAGGCCGAGCATCTCTCAGATACTGCTTAAAGACGTCCATGCGCTCCTGTTTGTTGGAATTTCAAGGGCACAGGGTGAGTTGAAGGGTTTAGGGCTCCAGCCCACAGCCGTAAAACTGAAACAGAGGGGTGGGTGCTCCAAGGACGAGAGGGTATAGGGTTCCTGTTAATGCCAGAGTCGGATGGAAGCCCCCTGAACGCTCGCAGTTAATCTAGGCTCCTGAATAACTGGAACAAGGTTTTATGGTATATTTTCGAGTACAACTATATGAGCGAATCATGTTGGCCATTGTCCAGGCTTCTATATTACGACGTCTGCTGCACTCAAGGTGTGGTAGGAAGGCTTCCGGATTTCCGGAAAGCAAAGCATAAGGCTCGTTTTCGACCTTGGCTTCTGAGGCCCCAGAACCCCAAAGCCTAAAAGCCTGGACTCCCGAAATATCTGAGGGTTTGGCGCTTCAAACTGCAGGGCCTACAGTGTTAGCAACGCAAAGCCTAACCAGAAAAAAACCCAATACACTCCGAAACTTACCCTTAACCCGAAACCACCTCCTTGCCCATGGGCTTGGCTTTGGAAGCCGAGTAATCCTGAATTTGCATTCAGCATCGAAGCGGGCTATGAGGCAACGAAGGCTCTATGAAGCGTTTGTAACGGTTTCACAGAAGGTTTGTAGATGTTTAGTTAGAAGAAGTATACCGGGATTCTGAAATGTAGGAAGGCAAGTTCCGCGTGTCAAATCCGAGAGCTCTGAAGCCGCAGACGTGTATCTAAGCCTCTGTCGCTGTTTTTTTGAGTGGTGGACAGCTGCTTCAATGGTTGCGGTTAAAGTTGTTATCCGAGCAGAAGCAGCCGTCGACTTCGTCCTGATCGTCGTAGTAGTCGTAGTGATGGTGGTGTTGTTCGTGGTGTTGGTAGTGGTCGGAGTAGTAGTGCTTAGGACAGGTGGAGCAAGAGGTAAAGGAGGGGCAGCCGCAGCACGTGGAGAAGTAGGAGTCGTCGTAGTCGTCTATGCTGTCTTCGTCATCGTTGGTCTAGTATGTTGGTCATCAGCGCCACTGCACGAATCATATGCGACTACGAGTACCAACGTACTGTCAGTCTGCAAGCCATGACCCCACATCCAAGTGCTCAGGAAACTCCCTGAAGGTCATGTGCCGGGTGGCACTGCGCCGGTGAGAACCCCGGGATGCCGATCGCTCCTGTGTTTGCGGAGAGTTTAGGCACTTCGGGCTCAATACCAAGGGCTGTACGTTGCGAAATGAGCTTTAAGGTATTTTTGGAGAATTTCTGCTTGATATGCTTTGTCTTGCTCCACCAATATCTCAGCAACAAGAGGCCTGAGCTTATCGCCTCGCCACAAGCAAGACAAACGACGACACAAATGAGATTTTTCCTGTGCTTGCAAGACTTCATGTAAGACTGTCGGGTCATGCACATCTTGAAAAATTTGACCAAATTTGGGGGTATAGCATGTACGTGTACATATACATATATATATATATATATATATATATATATGTAATATATATATATATATATATATATATATATATATATATATATATATAAACATACATATATACATACATGCACACACACACACACACACGCACACATATGTGTATATATATATATATATATATATATATATATGTATGAAAGTGAATATACATGTATATACATATTATGTATACATATACACATACACATATACCCCGGACCCTCACACACACATATATATATATATATATATATATATATGGCTGACCATCAACGTCCCTTCAAACACATAACGCCTCTGAACTTGACGAATTTCACACAAACTTCGATGCATCGGGCATGCCAAGTCTGACGACTTGGGCCTGCGGCCCGAAAAGATAAGCCCAAGCTTCCAACTGAAAAGCTAGGGGTGTTAACGGGTTCCGTGTTCAACCAAGGGTTTTTCAAAGTGACTGCATTGAAAAAGGGACTTCAACAAAATGAGGGGTTCGTGGGGCTTCATGGACAACTAAAAGGTAACCCCCTATATTCTATACTATGGGCTTCTGGCAGGCCTTAGATTTACTTTCTAGGGTCTTCAAGTAACACTAAAGTCGGACGAAACCGTCCAAGACAGCTTGCCAGACCTGGAAGGTAGAATGCCCCAGATTCTTGAGGGCATAATCTGGCTTTAGACCACTAAGGCATAGGAAGCTACGAAACTAGTTCCGTCGCATCCCAAAAAGTTGACATCAACACAACAACAACAAAACGAAGTGTTCCTGTCCCACGTGTGAACCCCTATGTCTCCCCTGAGCCCAAAGACTGAAGTTAACAACTCGGCCTGGTGAGGCGTTTCTTGGAGCATGTCTGCAGTAGGTTCGGTCCCTTCTTTGTGCAAACCTGGCAGAACCGGATGGTTTGGGATGTAATTTTTTAACCTATCCTCTAATGATGTATAGGATTTACAATTGAGGAAGCTACTTGTGTAGTTTTGGGTTGTAGTTCTGTGGACACAGGGGCTGGGTCTGGAGCCGTGAGTGCAGGATATAGCACATAAGAAAATTCAGCTGGATTTGAGGCATAGGGTTTTGTCCTTGCAGCGTTCAGCCTGGGTTTAGGAGTATACGACCAGAGCTCGTACACATGAGGCATCATACACTTCGTGATTACGTCGACGAGCAAAGCTGAACCCATGCCGAACAACAGCCGTTCAAGGCAGTATATGGCCAGGATCCCAGAGCCACTACAAAGACAATGCTACAAGTAAGTCACCCAAGACTAGATGCGTGGCCAAATTCCAAACAGGAACAGACAGGGTCGGGCCGCAACACTGAAAACAGAATTCCAACCTTTATCATGACCACATGGACGAAACGTAATCAGACAAACATAGAATAGAGTTAGTGCTTCATTCTAACATGTACATCATGCCGATCATCACGCTCGGTGCTCTTCCTCATAGCAGCACGTCAGAAAGGCCACATACCAAAATCCGAAGGCCATAACAGCAGCTGCGGCTTCGACGGCCTGCAGAGCTCGGCCGCTGAGGCGCTAAAGGCTGCAGAGGGATGTTGGACACCCGCTTCCTCCTGAGCTGATTATGTTCACCAGGGTTTCGTCTCTCACGCTGACGGCAACACAGTTGCTGCAAACTGGTTGAGGATGTAGAAGTGAAGGTTGCTTGCAGATTTGGCCACGGTTTCTGTGGCTGAGGGGCCAGACTTTAGGGTTTGGTCTGTCCTCCACGTTGCTGGAACAATTCGCGGGTTCGTGACGGCGGCTTCCGGGGTAGGGATTAGGAAAGATGTGACGGGATGGCAGTTCGGCAAGTAGTCCGGGGGCTGCATGCTTAGAGCGCCCTATATCCAAAACCCCAAACCGTCTTGCGCGAACTTCAACATGAAGGCGTGACAGGAATACATGTTTGTGGCTCACGGGAGGAGAGTCGTCACCACACCCCCCGTGCCAGCATGCACGTTTTTTCTCTCCCACATGGCAAAAACGAATGCACTTAGCAGAGCGGTACAGATAAGCCTGTTACACATAGTCGTGAGTTTGCACGGTACAACGGTATGCACGAACTCAAGTAGCGTCTGAAGCATCTGAAAGCAGCTAAAGCCCGAGAAACACAGGTCAAGGAATACTTGTTTGTGTTGTACTCCCAGATGCTTCATGCATGATGCGCGCTCTCGAATCTCATGCGCAATTTTTTGGACAGGCGGCTTCTTTTGGACAGACGGCGGAATTGCATTTAGTGAATGAACGCAGAGATGCTACTTGTCCGGACAGCAAAGAACCACCCCGCGTAGACGTGTCACGTTTGAGGGACGACGCAGTCCCATTTGCTCAAGTTCACAGGCGAAATGGATTTGTGCCAGAACGTCCTGGCAGGACAAAAGCTTGCACCCCGTATTCAGGAGAAAGAAAGTTACTGTTTCGAGCTCCACAAAAAGTGGAGCAGAAGGACGAGGCTTCTGCGGGTGCACAGAATCCCCGCGATTCAGATAATCGTTCAGTCATGCCAGAAGGATGTTCCTGGTTGGTCGGTCGCCGGGCTCCCATGCATACAAGCTGTTACACTTGCCCAAGTTCAAGTTGCAAGCTCAGGGATGGCGACTCCAACAGCCAATCACAGCAGAAGTGCCCTCATATCGTCAGATAGTTTTTGCTTCACCTCACAATGATCCGGTTGAGAAGCGGCCCTTAAACGTCTATCGCAGGTTGCTCTGAGAGGCGCCCACTCCTTCAAGAAACAGGACCGGACAAATTGACAAGGTAATGTTGCATGTAAGATACGAGGAAGGAGATGCGGCTGGGGTGTTCGGTTCGAGAAGTTGCCGACGGGCGCCCAAAATGACATGAGCCCAATCATCGACAGGATAATGCACGATGGTGTCGCTGGCCTTGCCCTGGCCGGCGTGCATGTCAGCATACCACTGCGGCACACCCGAGACGGCAATATGGCCATATCACAGCGAACATCATGTGCAACTTCAGACATGCCCTGCAACACCCGGGCAGCCCAGGTCGGTCCTCGGTGTGCGCGATGCTACAGCCGAGTTCGTTCAAAATGGATCGGCAGGGCTCGTGGTTAGCACCACGATTGGCTTTGGCACTCCACTGCTTGGGAAGGACACCCACACTCAGTAAGGCATAGCTGCCGCAAAAGAGGCAGTAGGTTCCAACTAGGTGCAGCTTCAGCAGACGTGGATTGTAGAGTCGTTTCAGCATTTCTTCGTGAGTCCGGGTCTGATGAATGCGACAGATGTGCTTTGCCTTGAACTATGCATTTACGAGGGTACAGCAACTTATCGACATCGCCTACAGGAGGAGCAGTTTTCAGCGCGTGAAGGACAGAGACTTCCGCTTCGTGCCACATGTTGCAGCACGTTGTGCTTGTGCAAGGCAGCCGGCATTACCAGAGAATGCAGAGATCCGGCTTGGCAGCACCCTCCCCCCTTCCTGCGCGCAGCTTGGCCACCTCCTGATTCCAAACCTCAATGCAGGTGCCAACAAGACTTGCACAAGCTGGGACCGTGATCTTCTCCCACAACCGCAGCTGGCAATGGGGGAAAATGGTGGTGATGATGGCCTTCTCCGCGAGCTGTTTGCTCGCAAGAGTCGCCACGGGCAAAACGAAAAAAGGGAGAGCCGTGGCTGTCGCCTCCAAGCACAAGTACTTCACATGCAAGGCCTTCACTCAAGCGTTTTAAAGGTTCTGGGCTAACTAAAGACGTCATAGAGCCCTAGAAAACGCCCAAACCAGCTCCGCGTAACGCCTTCATCGACCAAACCTTTACAAAAAGGCAAAACTCCGTCACACCCTAGGTCGTGTGTTGGGGATAGCAGCAAAGGGCCAACAACCCCAAGTCCTACATCCGCAGCTCCTGAGGTTTAGGTTTTGAGGTCTGTGGGGGTTTGGGATTTCAGGGGCTAGTAGCGGGCTTCTATTCTAGGGGAGTAGGGTTCAGGGTTCAGAGGCTGAAACCTTAGGCTCAACATACTTAATCGCCTTAATCCCCTGGCAAAGCCCCGCCACCAGGCCAAGTTTCACTGACGTACCCAGATTGGACTGCCTACGGCCGCCCATGACCCGCGGCGCAGTGCCCAGATTCCTTTGCCATAGGTGGAAGCTGTAAAGTCTTGCTATGGGTTGGTGTTGGGTTTACAGTACTGTAGTTTTTGGGGCTGCGTTGTCTGCACAGATTCTTTCGGTGTAGCGGATGATAGGATATCGGTTTGCTTTTCACAATGGGTTCCACAAAACCGTCAGTTTCAACAAAGACTCGCTAGCGATGTGGCGCCCAGTATCTGTTTAAAAAATATTGAGACCGATTTGTATCGTATCTATATCCGTATCAAACTATTCAAACCTTCTGTAAGGTCATACCATCCGAGGAGTTCGACCTCACAGCTTACACACGGGCCCCTCTAAGGGTTACAGTTATGTTGCCAGAGGGTCATTAATTGGGGTTGGGTTAAATATAAGCTAATATGGGGGCCTCACAGAGGATTCTGTGCACACCTCGGTTCTTGTGGCGATCGCTTCAATCTTACCGCTGTTGGCAGTCGAAGTCCATGGACGTTGCAGGAAACCCTGTGGACCTGACATACTGGGGCCACCAGAGGGATTTCAATACACAATTAAGATAGGGCTTTAGGGTATATTCTCAAAAGCCAACTTCTCTTGAGAGCTATACTGGATTATTCTTCAATAATTGTTCCGACCGCTGTCACACGTCGTGGGTTTTGGAAACTGGGGGCTTGGGTCCACGCTTAGACTGTAAGGATCTCGGGATGCTCGTGGGGAAACAGCCCTTAGCATACTACTTGGAGGTTCATGGGTAGTTATAAGTAGGGCTATAAGTGGGGTAACTATACATGTAACCCATATTAGGGACTTCTAAGCCAACTTATAACTACCCATGAACCTCCAAGTAAGGTGATTGCACTTTCCATACTCATAATGACCCGTACAGATTGAATCAGCGAAGCCCTCAATGCCCCGCTGAAAAATCGTCTTGTCTGTTGTTCTAGTTTCCTAGGTCTCATGTTGCTCATTGCTTCCAGGGGCTGCCGAACCAACATCGCCAGAGGGTGGTCCTGAGTCGAATCGAGCTTCCATGGTGTAGGGTTTAGGGTAGGGTCTAAGGGTTTCGTTTAGGCTTCAACTAGTCCAAATTCATGGCTTCTCGCTAGCAAGCGCGGACCCACCCTGGCGCTACGCGCTCAACCCCAGACCCGTCCCCTTTCAGACACCCAGAGAGCCCAATATCCCTTAACTAAGGAATATAGCTTAAATCATAATACGAAGCCCTATATAATTAAAGCCACATTCCTAAAATAAGGTGTATTGGGCTCTCTGGGTCCCGGTTCAGACATGACTTTGCTGATTTTCTCGGTGTCTTTAAAGGCGCCTGAGGGCTCGCGTGAGGCGTTGGAGGCTCGACTACAAAAGCCTGAACTCCTAGAGCCTGAGACATATTAGCCAGGCGTTGCAGTACTAGCTTTTCTTTCCACGATGTATTTTCAACCACCCCAAAACCGCGATGGACCGCGCAAGCCTCCACGACAGCCATAAGCCCCTGGGCCTAGACCCTGAGACCCTTTTGCAACTGGCTTGCAACGTCATGCCAGGACAGCTGACTCGCTCCGGGCGGCACTCGTGACAGCAAGGACTCCGAGACCGCGGACCCTGAGACCCTAATTCCCAAACCCTGTACCCCAAACCATACGATCCCGAACCCCTGATTCCTGAACACTGCAGCCCAAAAGTCTTGTGGTCGCTCTTCGTAGCGGAAAGACGCAAACCCCTCGAAACGCAACCTTTGATCTAAGAGATATTATCAGGGTTACCTGGTTTGGGACAGCTGCACACATCCTCGAGGTCTCTTACGCCATGGCAGTGATGATTACGAAACCTTGAACACCAACCGTTGAAGCCCCGAGCCCGAAACCCTCAGGAACGTGGCTTTTCGGATGAATGGGCCTGGGCAGAAAAATATTCCCTATTAGGAGCCTCATTATTCGGGCACGCCAAGACCCCAGGTCCTCAATTCTTGGTGGTTTAAACTTGCTCTGCCGCTGCCCTCCCCCCCCTCCCGCCCCTTGAAGCGTTGTAAAGTGTAGCTGAAGAGCCCAATACCCCTTAATTAAGGAATATAGCTTGAATCATAATATGAAGCCCTATATAATTAAAGCCATATTCCTTAATTAAGGTGTATTGGGCTCTCTGTGTAGCTGAAGACGAAGGGCCGGCGCCAATCCTGCGGCGGAGACGCGTGCCGTCTCCTGCAGGCAAGACTTAGTGACGCTAATACGGCGGGGCAAATATTCCTGAGCGAGGGTTGGAGGGCCTTCAACTATATACTGTAGTATATTATAATATCCCGCTTGGCTGATCCGAAGACCGCATTGCGGGTCACACTTGCGACACGAGGTCGGAGAGCATCGCAGCTACCGTAGCCCCCGAGAAAGTAACTGCAAATTATAATATACAAAAGTATATATCATAGTAGAACAGTTTGTGGAGAATGCACCGCAAACTTTGAGGATCTAAGGGTTCTGGGGCTTAGGTTTCGGGGCCCACCCCCGTGGTTGTGGCCTTCGCGGCTTCATCGGGGCCCTCTGGGGTGTCCAACTCATCGTCGTCGTCGGCGCAGTATTCCACAGCCATAGCCTGTGCGCTAAAGAGCGAAGCCTTTGGAGACTCTGGGGTGGGGCTTAGGGCTTAGGGTTTCTAGATGTTTAGGGGCAAACGGTACCGTTTGTCTGAAAACAGCTTCTACATTCTACGGCTAGGAATTTTGGCAATGCCATCGTGCAAGACTTTGGGGGGAGCTATTGCAAGGCGGTAGGTCGTCAAAGCACTCCTTCCCAACAAAGCGGTTGAGGATTCAGGGTCCATACAGGTTAGGGTAAACCCAAAACTCTTCCGATCCGAACCTCAACTCTCACAGCCCCGACCACAAGGACCCTAACCGTTGATGATATAAATCCTGCATTGCCTTAATGACCCAAATCTATGGGAATTATGGTATATCCCTAATTATTGGTAATGCGGGATTTATACCATCAGCCGTAATTGACCGCTACCAGCGATAAGCCGGGTTGATTCCATGCCTGCGCCACGATGGCAGCCGTGTGCAAAGCTCTGGCTTCACGCCCCAAAGCCTGTCGGCAACGAACCAGGAGCGTCTTTGGCTTTCGTTCTTTGGACCTTGAATACTTAAGATCGGATATCTACTTAGGCGAAAAAGATAAGATAGACCTAGTGCCTGAAGACCCATGAGAAAAACAGAAGCCTCAGAAACCATGGAAGTATCGCCTTGCGCCAGTTCTTTTCCGTTTCTGGCTCTCCAGTAACCCGGCTTCGAGACATTGGGACCGAGGGTTGCGGATGAGGGACGGAGCGTCACGCGCGCGTTTCCGAGAACTTACTTTGTTTCGGGGTCCTGATATATGGAAGCTGCACAGAAGGTATCTTAAAGTGAGACTCACATAGTCAACAGACCGAGCCTCTAGCAGGAAAAACCTCTAGGTAGACCCCTGAGCGCAATAATACACCCGACCTGAAGTGCATTTTGATGCGACTCCCTCAAACCTCAAACCCTATGAACTCCCAAACCATGAGACGTAAACCATAAACTCTAAAGTGCCTGCCTTTTCTCCATGAGTCCATGAGCCTCAGACATGCCCTGACGCTCTGAAATGCACCAACTCTGCAAAACCCTGCTACCCCAACAGTCTGAAACCCAACAAAATTCACTTGAGAAATGAAACTGACAACATTCCTGATACCTAAATCTGATGCAACCAAAGACACTCCGAAGCCCTATAAAGCCCGCTAGCCCGAGATCACAGCCCAACGAAACCCTGAGATCTAACGCCAGCAACACTCCGAAAGCCTGAGACCTAAACCTGGTAACGCTCCGCAACCCGGAAAAACTGATCCTCAAAAAAGCCCGAAGCCCAGAGATATAAACCCAACCATACTCCGACAACCTGGAGCCTAAAGCCCCAGACTTCTGAACCGAATAACCCGTAAACACCCCAACATCCGGAAACCCCTAAACAACCTAAAGCAACCCTACACCCTAAACATTACATCCTATCGTGTCATAAAACAGCCTGTACGGCAAAATCCTCAGGAGGGCATTGGACGGCCCACCTTTGCAGTCTCCATGCTCAGACGATCAAAGCCGTGCTTGAGGCTTCTTTTTTAAAATGTAGGTTTCAGGGTTCAGTGGCTGAGGGAGTTTAATGCTTGATTTTTGAGACTGTTTGTAAGCCCTCATAAGGGCATTTGGAGACCCCCTTACTTTTCCTTATTGAGGACTTTAGACGTGTTTGTTATTCCATTTTGTCAGTTTTTGTTAGGGTTTGAGGATAATGCAAGAATCGATCCAAGACCACACTGCTTCTGAATAGAGTTTGCAATATATGGCTCCTATCTTGCAGGAATCAGAAGGAAGAGTCCCTTCTCGAGGTTGCATCTAACATCGTACGAAGACGCTGTGGCAAGAGCCATAAGCAGTCCTTGGTTCTCGGTCCGCTGTGTAGCGTCCGTTTATTGCAGCAATATGACCCCCAAGACAGAGCTGCGTAGGTTCAGCAGTCGTGGCAGCGAGTAGGTGAGATCCTGTGGCTTAGGGTTTCTAGCTGTTTCCTATGACTGATGGAGAGAAGCTGTGTTGCCACCCTACTTGGAGGTTCATGGGTGGTTATAAGTAGAGTTATAAGTAGGTTAACTATACTTATAACCCACATTAGGAGACTTATGACCCTCTTTATAACTACCCATGAACCTCCAAGTAATCCTTAAACACGCCCCAGACCCCGAGTTGGGCTAAACCCACAGGCCATAGGCTTCAAAGCCCGAGTCTCCGACATGTCTTGGGTTTAGGGTTTACCCATAGACCTGCATAGGAGTTCCTTTCTGGGGTTCATATATAGACTTCTATAAGGTACAACCAGAAAGGAACTACTACTGTTGATGGACAAAATCCTGCATGACCCTTTATAAGGAATGTACCATAGTTCCCATAGTTTAGAGTCCGTAGGGTCATGCAGGATGTTGTCCATCAACAGTAGTTCCGCTTGGGGTTTCATATTTAGAATTCTAGGTAATCCCAAAAAGGAACTATGGGTAGGGTTACAATGGCTACAATCCCATGGCTTTGTCTCTACGAGTTCCTACAGTTGTCAAGCTTGTTTTCGTTGGGCCCCTGAGCCGATCCAGAGGAAGAGTAGTTGCTTCTGCTAATGTAGGAACCTGATTAAGAAACCTTGGGCCTAAGGGTTCCTTTGAGGGGTCTACAAGGGTTACTATGAGGGATCCATAAGGGTACTATAATAATGTAGGAACCTGATTAAGAAACCTTGGGTCCTTCTATTCTTAGGGTTCTTAATATGGATCCGAATATATTGCGAGTAAAGGGTCCGGGTTTCTTAATCAGGTTCCTACATTACCTGTTGTAGAATGCTGGATCACATCGGCCAAAAACGTGTGAATTGGCCCATGCATGACATGACAGACATGACACTGAACATCAGCTGAGTCACTGCAGCAGTTTGGTGAGCGTCTCCTGCGCTTCCTGCATTGAACACTTTGCCCGCAACCTACGTGTGTCTTGATGCCCATCATGGCTTTGAGTCAAAGCTCCCTGTGCCTCCAGTTCAAGCGAGTAGGCTACCTGGCGATGATGAGCCCAAAAGCCAAATCCTGAACAATAAACTCCAAGGATCAGTTACTCAACGGACAAGAACGGCCTGTTTTGAAATCGATGCAGAGTGCTGATCCGAAGGTGATTTCTGCAAGCAGAAAAGAGCCCGAGTCCAGCTGGACTAGTCCCTGCGTTCAGGTTTTACGCATAGGGGTCCGACCATGCATCGCTAGCCAGGCAACCTTCGTACCAGCGCCGCTGCAAAACCCAGCTAGACCATGTTGAATCAGGACATGTGCAACCACCTGAACATTGGCTCCTATTAAGAAACCCTTTTTGCTGCAGACTTGCTTGCAAGGACGCCTGGTATTAAGCAACCCTAAACCCGAAACTCGTAGTCTTGGCTAACTTTTTGCTTGCGTTCTGCAAAGCAAGGAGGACCGGCCTTAGACAGGCAAGGCGAGACTAACATAATTTCGTGTCTAAGATTTGGGTTTGTGGGGATATGGCTTTCGGGTGTAGGGTTCATGGTTGAGGGTTTGGAGTAAGGGTTCAGGTCCCGGAAAAATCTTCCCGTGCAGCGAATTCGAACCCGTAACCCCAGCTCTTGCTCGGGCCTGTCAGTCGATACTTTGTGCCAAATTCGGGGTAACTGGAATCTTCTAGGGAACCGTGAAACCGGTCAGCACGGAAACCCATATCCTGAAGAAGCTTCGAAACCCTAAACCCTATCCGCTCAACACGGAAACCCACTCTAACGCTGAAAATCCAAGCCCTCCTGACTTCGAACAACCGCTGTCCTTGATGATTTGCAGTGCCTGCCGGTGTCGGAAGCCTCCCGCAATCTCCGGCTTCGGGTTGCGGGGTTTAGGGTTTGAAGTTTGGGGCCTAGGCTGTGGGGGGGCTCAGGGTGATTCTTCTGATGTCTCGCTCATTCTGTCTGTGTGTCTGTCTGTCTGGCTGTCCGTTGGTCTGTTGGATAGGAAGCTTTGAGAAAAACGAGTCCGAGATGGAGAAAGCTTCACAGCATCCGCTCTGCGTTAGAACGGCCTTGCTGCGAGCAGCGTTCGCATGCAGTCTTCCGGCCTTCGCTGAGGTATGCCGCATAGTTGATGCGGACTTTCGCAGCTTCCTTCAGGAAGGGAGCTAGGCTACCCGGATTACAGCTTTGGGTTTTCGGGCTGACGGGCTTGAAGATGAGGGTGAGGGCCTGCATCTGGGAACGCACGGGGGTTCTTGAACCACCCTGTGACAGCAAGATTGGGAGCAGCAACAAGAAATCGACAACCGTCAAAGTCGTCATAATCATCAGAACCCTAGCAGCACCAAGAAGCCAGTACGACGTACGACAAAACAACTGAAAACTACAGCGAAAACAAGCTTCACGACAGTAGCAACAAGAGCAAGGCTTACATCAAAGGCACTAATTGCTCCAAGCACCAAATGATTCCAAGAAGACTTGTATTTCAGGTTGCTGAGGGATATTATATGGGTCATTCTTAGGTTCATTCTTAGGTTCGGGTAAGGTTACTGTCAGACCTCAACTTACCCGTGCGGGGGTAGTTATGGCAACTTGTTCAAACCTTTTCCAACCTAACGTGTGGCTTTGTCCAGAAGCTGCGGCATTCACTGACAAAAGCTCTGAGGGAAGCATCCACATAAAGCTCTACGCCGTCTAATTATGAAGGCCCCCGAACTCTAAACCTCCTGTAAAGCCTTCTAGAAAGCCTACGAAACCCGAAAGAAGCCCTATGAAACTTATCACTCTTTTCTTCAGCAACCGGGCCTCAGAAAGTTCAAACTTTCTAAAATAGAGCTCATATAAGGCCAAGAAATTAAAAGTTCCCCCGTTCACTATCTAAGGTCATGACAGACCCTAAGCCGACTTGGGCAGCGACCAGGCAGAGCGCCGGGTGAGCCATCTCCCGGCGTTCGACGATGGCCAGGGCTCTCTCCATCATCCTGCGTTTCCACACTCGGACAATCCAGGCGAGGCATAGCCATAAGGGTTCCTTTAAGGGCAGGGATTCTATAAGGGTATAGGGTTTAGAGCCTACTTGGAGGTTCATGGGTAGTTAGAAGTAGGGTTATAAGTAGAGTACCTATACTCATAACCCATATTGGGGGACTTATAAGCCCATTTATAACTACCCATGAACCTCCAAGTATGGTTCGAGGTCTGACGAGTGAGACATTCACTAATTTAGGAGTGCAAGCCACAATGAATAGAATGGTTCTGGGCTTAGGGCTTCATTGCTTAGGGTCTAGCGCTTTGCCGGCTTTATGGGCCAGGGCTTAGGGACAGAATCCTGCAGTATGCATGGTATATATAGAAATATATTCCGTATACCATAGCTCGCATAGCTTAAAATCCTTAGGTCACAGCTTACGGTCCCTTAGGAAGAATTCTTGGGTTTTTCGGTGCGATATCACCCTATTCGTTGCATGCTGCTTGGGGCCCAAGGCTTGAGTGTAAGGGTGCTGCTTTTGTCCTGTCCTCTGGCCCATGGTCTTGCCGACTTTCTGCGAAGAGCTTTAGCTCGATGGAAGAGGAGCATGTAGAGTGGGGTATCGAGGGTAACCTGCATTGTAGTACGGAAGTCTGCCGAAATCGTTAGGACTCTTGAGCCTCATCGAAAAGCTTACTACATCTAAACTGTGAACACGTCCCGTTCATCCCAAATTTTTTTACCATTGAACTCAAACCTAGTGAACCTACTCTGGGTACTCACGCCTGGCTAAGAAGAATGAACCTCCCAAACATCAACTGCATTCCCCAGTACTTCCAGACATTCCGACACAAGCACCCTGTTCCCTAACGAACTGATCCCAAACCCCACGTACGTACATAAAAGTATAAAAGCATTATCTATAGGAGCACTCTGATGGCTCAAGTCCGACAAACGGATAATCTTATCTGCAATCTGGCACGCATATGATACCCATGATTAACTGATTAACATACCAAGGCCGAGAAGAGTAAACTAGCACGAGTTATGAACGAATGGTTTGATCCCTACAGTATGACGTCAACCTCGAAAGCCAGAGTCTGATGCTCAACAACTCCAGGCGCCTCTCGACGAACACAGAAGAAATCAAACACTAAACTGTAGAAAAGGCATAAGTGACTGTCGTTCATGGCTTCCGTACCTTTACCATACCCTTATTATAAATACAGTTGGTTTCAAAGGTAGAACACCCCTTGCATTCACTCTCACGGAAGTATCGTCTTCAGACCTTGCAGTTGCCTGAAAAGGTTCTTACAGAACCCTAGTTGCTCGTCAAGAAGACACGATAGCCGGCACTTGGCAGTATATTTATAGAACCCTGAATGACAGTCAAGAAGACACGAAGAGTCGCGGTAGCCGGCCTGATACCTCGGCCGAGGAGGCCCTTCTCGCGCAATGTCCGTGCCATGGACGTATATCTGAGCATTTGGTATATTTTTCTTTCGAACTCGTTTGTTCTTCGAGGGTTGTAGGCGTAGAGTGCAGGGTTGAGTTGTTTTAGGGCGTGAGGGCTTATGGCTTAGGGTTTCAAGGATCATGCTCTCGCTCTCGGGCTTGCAAGATGAGGTTCATTCTGCTTCGGAGGATTACTTGGAGGTTCATAGGTACTTCTAAGTGGGGTTATAAGTCCCCCAATATGGTTTATAAGTATAGTCTCCGTACTTATAACACTACATGATAACTACCCATGAACCTCCAAGTACTGGAATCTATCCCTGCCAGAGCCTGTCATGACCAACCCCGATCTGCCCGGAGTCCTGGATTTCCTCAGAATCTGACCCCACAAAAACACAACCCAACCTTATCTACATGTTAGGTTCTATAATTATAGTGTGTGACTGTCTGAAAGGCATCAAGCCATGGGATAACAAACTATCAAGGTAATTGGGTTCAACCCGAAGACAAGCCCTAAAAGTCTTTAAACCCTTGAATACCCTAAAGAATCCGGCCCCCCCCACAGGAGCCATAGGCCAAGCCCAAAGCCGGCGGAATACAAACGGATGCTACAGCGTTGGTTGTACTGGTATCGGAGCCGCCTAGGCACAAAGCTCCCTCAACGGTAGAGTCCACCCTATAAACCTAAAGACAATCTAAGATCTCTCCAGCAAGTCCTAATGCCCGAACGCGAAAATTTCCACCTCCGGAAACCCTGCCCCTCAACACATACAACTACGAACCCTCGAAGTCCGAAAGCTTCAAACTCCGAGAGAAAGTCTGTGCGCCCGAAAGTCCTGGACGTCTTGTAGCCGGGAACACACAACCGCTTGCGTACATACGCTTTTTCCGCATGTTGGCAAGTTCCACGTTCGGCATCACAAGTTTGCTGCTCGCTTTTTACCCTCGTACCTCACCGCAAAAGCAGCATCTGTTAACATCATTGCGGACCCAAACACAGACAGCTTGCCTATTTGCTGGAGAACCAAAGATCGCCGGACCCAACATTGTAGACTTCGGCCAAACACATACGGATTGCGTACCAACAATCCGCAAACGAACTCAGAGGAGAACCGCTCCAACAACCAAAGAACCTTCGGATTCAAGTTCTCTTCGATGCTGTAGCCCAGCACTTGTGGCGATCGAACAATCACTTTGGCAATGTTAGCATTTGTCAACCCCGCGTTTCGTAGCCATTGGACCGTGGGCTTCAAGTTTTCTTCGATGCTGCAGCCCAGCACTTGTGGAAATCGAAAAATCACTTTGGCGATGCCAGCTTTTGTCAACCCCAGGTCTCGTAGCCATTGGGCCGTGGGCTTCAAGTTTTCTTCAATGCTGTAGCCCAGCACGTGTGGAAATCGAACAATCACTTTGGCAATGTTAGCATTTGTCAACCCCACGTCTCGTAGCCATTGGACCGTGGGCTTCAAGTTTTCTTCGATGCTGCAGCCCAGCACTTGTGGCGCTCGAACAATCACTTTGGCAATGTCAGCTTTTGTCAAGCCAAGGTCTCGTAGCCATTGGACCGTGGGCTTCAAGTTTGCTGCGATGCTGCAGCCCAGCACTTGTGGCGTTCGAACAATCAATTTGGCAATGTCAGCTTTTGTCAAGCCAAGGTCTCGTAGCCATTGGACCGTGGGCTTCAAGTTTTCTGCGATGCTGCAGCCCAGCACTCGTGGCGCTCGAACAATCACTTTGGCAATGTTAGCATTTGTCAACCCCACGTCTCGTAGCCATTGGACCGTGGGCTTCAAGTTTTCTTCGATGCTGCAGCCCAGCACTTGTGGCGCTCGAACAATCACTTTGGCAATGTCAGCTTTTGTCAAGCCAAGGTCTCGTAGCCATTGGACCGTGGGCTTCAAGTTTGCTGCGATGCTGCAGCCCAGCACTTGTGGCGTTCGAACAATCAATTTGGCAATGTCAGCTTTTGTCAACCCCACGTCTCGTAGCCATTGGACCGTGGGCTTCAAGTGCTCTTCGATGCGGTAGCCCAGAAGTGGCGGATATCGAACAATCACTTTGACAACCTGAGCCTTCTCGAGACCAAAGTCTTCCAGGAACTGCCTTACAGGCTCGAGGTGCTCTTCAATGTCGAGGCGTGCTAGCGCGGGACATGTCTTCAATAGTTCCTCCGCTTGGGGAAACGACAACTCCAGCTGCATCTGCAGAAACTCATGCAGAGGTGCTTGGTCGAACTCAAAAGCTTTTTCAGTAAACTCAACTGCTGCCGTCCAGGAGATCCCGCCAGGAGTCTCCACGAAGGCCTGCAATTTGGCTCTGAGCCCAGGCTGGAGTGCACTTCCCAGCTGCTTCAACAAGGACATGGTGACTTGTCGGAGTGCCTTCGCCAATGAAGCGTCGCGGCCCTGTTGCCACACGTCGATAACAACTTCTCCCATGTCGCATCCGTGATCCCATTCCCTACGGGCATGGGCTATGCGCACCACCTGCGATCCTGCAGGTGCAAAGTCCAAAAGTGCATGGGTCTTTTTGCTGTCAGCTGCTATCCCTGCTGGCAACAGATGCCGGTAGTAGCCGTCGTACTCCAAAAACAAGGCCGCGTCCTCAGCCTGCAAAGCGCCGTAGACGGTCAGATCCGGGCTCAAGGTGCTACGACTCCGTCCGTCGCTTTTCTTCACTCGGAAGTCTCGGAAGAGCTCTTTGATGGGCTCCTCTGGCTGCAAAATCACCGCCAGGCGCGCGAGGAGCTCAGCCTCTGCAACGCTGTCCGGCCGCTGCCGGCGATGTCCGGCTTTCCACCAAGCTGGTGGCTGGCGTACGACACACAAACTACAGGAGCGGAAGGAACGCCAGGAAATTCGAGAGAACATACGCGAAGAATGCACATGGCTTCCTCTTCATCGGAGGCTTCATACTGCCTTCCTCTTGGGCCGCGAGCCGCAGCAAGAACCGAAGGTTCGAAGGCTCAAATACCTCTGACTACTGTGGACGCTTTGACCACAAGCTCCGTCGACCTCGGCACGTGATCCACAAACCTGCCATCATCTGCTTAGGCAAAGATCATATTCTATGACTGCCTCAAACTCGAAACTTGCAAACACCACACTCCTGTACCAATAGGCCCTGCTAGGTCCAGGCGGACGGACTGCATGTTTTAGTGGGTTTGAGCCTGCAGCCCAGTCTTGGACCCATATCTAGTTTCGGAGATCAGGCGCCTTATGCAAACCTTGCGCAAACCTAAGCAGTGGGCTCCATACTTAAGGACCACAGGCGTTTAAGAATCGCAAGTATAGTTCGCTCTCTTTCTGCTCTCTCTGCGTGGGGCTCTAGGCGAAAGGGTAAGTATGTGGTGTAAGACTTACAGTAGGCTCCAACAGATTAGTGTGTAGAATAAAGGTGGCGAATTCTAAACGTTTTATAAATGAAATGCATGTCATGATCACGATGATGATGATGATGAGGGCGATGCGTGCTGTAATATGGAGCCTTAAAAATTGGAATAGGGCTTAGGGGCCCGTAATACGATACTTGTGATAAGGAGCCCCAAAAATTGAGTTGATAATCATCTCGGCCCTATATTAGGGGTCTAGGGTTTCGGGAGCTTCTCGGGACGGGGCTCAAGCCATGTCTTCGTTTGGGCAGTCTTCGAAACTATCGCTTCTTGACTCCATGAGAGAGGATCCTGTCCGCCTGACAGGAGTCGCACTTTTGTAATGTAGGAACCTGATTCAGTTTGGGGTTACAGGCGCCCAAGGTTTCTGAATCAGGTTCCTACATTAGAGAGCATGACCGGAGCCCGAAGCAAGCATGACACCCTCGGCAGAATTCTAACCCCAAATCCTTAGTGCAGGCGAAACACTGCACGGCCGTTTCGAGACTGTCCTGCTCAGACCATGTTGTTACAGTGGGCCATGTTTGCTTGTCAGCGAACATGGGACTTCGGCTTGCGAAAATGTTACAGCTGTTTTCCCTGGTTTGTGCAACTCAGGACTTGTGATTGGGGGCTTTCGGCCTGGAAACCCAATCGGTGAACACAACGATCCCCTTCGCTAAACGATCTGCAGCCCGTCCAAGACATCTTCCGATGCCACTGAGAGATGTGTCCAGCCGATCTCTTTTGGCCTGGGCTTGAGGCAGCAAGACTTGGATAACACTGAAAAGGTTGCAGGACCAGGGAACAGCCCCGAGTACTAGACCGCAAGCCCAAAACCATCGAGATTGCGAGTCAGGACGGTCAACTTGGTTCCGATTTCCTGGCTCTGATGCACCGAGTTGAGTGCCTTCTGGTGCTAAAGCACACATTACTGTCTTACATGACAAAGCATGGAAGAGTCAATTGGCGGGGGTGTTTCTTGCATTGAAGCGATGCTTCAACGTAGAACCCACGTCCGTTCTAGCCAACTCGAGAAATTTACAAGTTGACAAGGGTTGGTTCGGCATTGACACCCTTCACACGGTTTGTGTGCAGCGTCGCGAGGGCAGCTGCAGATCGGCTTAGGCTAAAGATACACCGTGTCTTGACCGACATTGACGAAGTGTGGTCTGCCATGACGCTGGTTCAAAAACAAAAACGCTGGATACCGCAGAAAACTGTCTAGACAAGATGCAGTAAACAGAAAGCAGAACTGCAGGCAACTTCCGATGAAATATAACCTCATCGGCTTGTAACACAGATTCATGACCGTTTGCAATCACGAGGCGGTTTCGGGACGAATTTTTACACTGGAACTGCAGGGACAAATAATGGGATGCTATTGCTAAGTATTCAAAGCCCTGGGTTGGATTGTTGAATTTGACTACTACAGTATCAGTTCTCTGAACAACGCAACGGTAGATCACCACTCGGCCGCGTAGGAAGAAAACTACGCTGTCGCTCAGGCAGGCTGCCACAATTCCCAACTCAATGGCTAAGGAAACGTTCTCCTACACACGCCTTGTAGATTGAAATGGCTCCTGGACCCGAAATCAGCTGCAGCTGTGCCACTTCTTCGGTTCGGGGGGCTCGTCCTCCGGGCTCCGGTAGAAAGTCCGTTCCATCTCGGACTCCTCTGCCAAGGCTTGCTGAAATCCTCATTGGATTCTGCTGTGAATGCCACCCTGCTGTTCCACTACCCTAGGGGCCTAAATAATTGCCTATACTAGTTTGGGGGTTCCTTATTATATTTATAGTACAACGGGCCCCAAAACCCTATTCTAATTATTAAGGCCCCGTCATTACGTGGCTGGCATCCTGCGGTGGTTTTTGGTTCAGACTTCGAGGCTTTGAATAGTTGCGGTGGCCCGACACCTTTCCGTGACTTCTACAAAAACCTAGATATGGGAGTTTCCGAAATTAGGGGGTGCTATATTAGGGTCCCCTATTTTCGGAAACTCCCATATAGTATACACTTGAACATAGGCTCATGAAGTATCTGCGTGGGGATTTGATCCTGGTAATGTTCTCTGTCGCTCACCCCACAAAGAGCTGTATTGATTGTTGGCGTGGTTGCCTTCTACAAGCTGGATCACCGTTACTTCCACTTCCACACACGCACTCCTATGCAGGCAGATCCAACGTTCGCTCGTTTTGCACACTCACGGCCGGCGGTGGATCGTCTGTGCACGGGATAGCTCTGTCTACTCGGAGAATCACAGAAGATTATAGCACTTTAGCTATGGGCAATGCTTTCTAGAGCTTGTGCTCATTCTTGAGCCAAACGTTGCATGGGCGGTCATACTGAAAGGATGGATAGGCATTGCGGTGTGCGTAGCACTACCACAAGCCTACTCCTAGAGACGAGGGACGCGTGGCGTGCCCCCTTCCCTTGCACTTTACACGGTCTTGCTCACAGCTCTTATAGTGACACCTTGGAACTTGACAAGGCATCGCAGTCCGTTCGCACCCCCCATGAGTTGCGTCTCTGACGCTGCTCACCCGGAAGATGGCACGATAGGAATATCAGAAAATTTGTTCCGCCGCAACTTTGACGTATAGATCAGAGCTTTTGCATCCCAATTAGAAACGTTGTGACACTCATCTACGTCGGTAACGATCCCCTGAAATGGCAAACGAATCAGGCGTCACCGAAGAAAGGAGCATTCGCGATGGAATTCCACGTGCGAAGCACAGAGGTCACAAGCTGGAAGATGATGTAGATCATGTGTTGTCTCGCCACCATCTTCGCGTTGACGTAGGATCGCGTTCCCAGGGCCGGAGGTTCTCCTCTGGATACTGGTTCCTCTGCTTTCCTTTGTCCTTGCCTTTGTTTCGGCCTTTGCCGGCGATGTAGTCGTGGTAGGAATTGGTGTTCCAGCCACCATGTTGCTCATCTCCGGTTCTCTCACGCCCTTTTGAAGGTCCCTTTGCCGAGGAAGCGCTTGCACGTTCCTCCGTAGTGACGGGCGTGTCCATGATGGAAGTACCACCCGGAGGGAGATACTCTTCGGCCGAAATGTGATGTAATGCTTCAGGACGTCGAGTATTCGGATTTTGCTGTCTTTCAACTCTAGACTTGACCAATCTGTCCATGAAGTGCGCTGGCATTTGCACGTTGTGGTCCACCAGCAATCCAACGGTCTGGACGGAATAATCTGCATGAGTCAAGAGGATGCCGACCTGGGTCGATGTACAGAAAGTCCACTGGTCCAGTTGGCGTGTTTCGTAGTACCGAAAATTGTTGATGTCCTGTCACCATCGGGATAACTTCACATAAGACGTTGAGGCAACAAAAGTGCATTGCCTTCACGTCTTCATCCTTGTTACTCTTCAAGTACGTGGTTGGATTGAAGTTATCTCTGCCGATTCCCATCATGTTGGCTCCCCGTGTCAATAGCGAAAGCATCTGGTTCGTCCGGAAGCGCTTGAAAGTGTAAGTCCCGTTGGGATCATACGACTTGAGGTTTTCAGGCTCCTTAGCAAAGCGAAGGATCTCCTCATCAGTCACGTCCCTGCTCACACCTGTTTCTTTATCCACTCCAGCCAAAGTTCCCCACTTTCCGAGCACATCATAGCGTTGGCCATGTGCGAAATTCTCTCTCATCTGAAACAACGGCATAGTCGCCCATTTCGCGAATCCTGACCAAGCTTTGTAGATGGTTCTGCATACAACGAACGCCATGTACGAAAGAGCGGCCATGTTGGCGTCGATGCAATGGGCGTTCCGTTTGCCGTGGTAGTAGGGCGGCTGCATGGCGGTGCGGGCGATTTGCAGTTCAGGGTCGATGTTCAAAGACTGACCGGCAATGAGGAGGGGACGTCGTTCCTGTGCCACCGCATCTGGTACTTGGTCGTCAAAGTCCTCTCCTGGTTCCGTGTCCATTTCTTCATCAGGTTCCTGTTCTGGATCGTCATCACCAACAACGGATGGTTCTGGAATTGCTTCGGGTTCCGCAACCGATTCCGCTTCCATGGCTTCCTGTTCCTCGACGGTTGCCTCAGGTACTGCTGCTGCCGCAGCTTCCATCGTCTGAGCAATGAAGTCACTTGGGATCTCCGTTGGAGTATCCCGTTGTGGAGTACCTTGGTAGTATCCGCAAGAAACGAATTGTGACCAGCAGGATGTGCATCGAGAAAAGCATGCTGGAACAATGTTGTAGCACGCTGGGCATACCCTCATTCTCCTGCCATCCTCATCTCTTCGTAGATCTTCGGGTCGCCAGTTCTTGATGACAAACTTGATGCCCTTGTCCATGTAGTGATGTCGAACCGTGTTCTCCCTGTGGGCCTCCAAAACAGTGGTAAGGTCTCGCATTATCTGCTCCTTGCTTGTGTCATGGGGTCCAGGAGGCATCTCGCAAAGCAATTCCATGATCTTGCTTGGCGTTCGATATCTCTCGAATTCAGGAAGCAATGGAGATCCATTGTAGTCCAACACCATCTCTTTCTCCAATC